TTCTAATGTTCCATTGTTCTCTGATGAAACTCTTAATAAATTTGATGAAAATGTTTCAGAAAAAATCAGATTCTGATGTCGTATCAAATGTTATTCGTCTTCACAATGAATTTATTTCTAGTGATATTCCTAATGAATGTGTTCCGAATTAGTCGAATTCTAGTCACATTTCTGATGTTATTGTATCAGATGTTGGATATTCTCACGAACAATGTTTGTTGAGTAGAATCCCTAGTCAATGGTATGAAGAATCAGAGGGAATAGCAAGATTCCCGAAGCAATCAGTGAACCAGTTTGCCCAAGTATGAAGTTTGCACAGACAGAGAATCCAAATCAAGTCCAAGATTATCCTAATAAGTATGAGGCAGATGCATGTTTTCCATTCGATTGTTTCGCAGGTGAATCAAGTCTAGATGAATCACATGTGTTAATTACATCTATCTATGTTTTGTAATATGAATAACAAAAAAGAATATGCCTCATAATTTTTATGCAGGCCAAATTCACATGATGGAATGCCTCAAATTACATGTCGGTGTGTATCCCTTGAAGATACCACCAGTATTGTAGTTTGACAACTGTTTACTAGTAACACCTTCTATAATCGAATCGTGCCCACCCAGTTAAAATTAGAAGCGAAGAGGTTGGCAGATGTATTTGATTGGTTATCAGCTGAGCTACAGTGTATCCAATGTCAGCTTTCACTGCATTGCGGATACCAAGTAAGACGAGTTGAAGAGCGTTGGTCCACTGTGAAACGTTTGCAGCTGATAGCGAAGCTTTTAGTTGTCGTGGAAACGTTCTACCATTAAAAATACTTTTCTATTACACAGTTAAATCCATTCAGTCATATCAATGTCTCCACAAACTAGACCTATATCCTGGTCTGTCGAGTTTACAGCTCACCACCCTTAACCTCCTTTCTAGATGTTAAGGTCGAGATAAACAGTGGCATTTCGTCTATGCGTTTAAAGTGTCATGCCTGCCATATTAGAATGTGTATGAACTAGCATTCCACTTTTTCCAAAATAATTTTGTTAGATCAGCCACTGGTGTAAACAAAAGCAAACAATCTAAACAGACTAAGTTTTATGTGAACAGTAAAGGTTAGTTGTCTTCTGTCATTCAAGTTGTGGAATATAGTGAGAAGCTAATCTAAAAGTTAGACTATGAACTCTTGTATAACATGTCGAAAAGTCGTTGAAAGAGATAACATGAACTGCTGAAAACTAACTGAATGTTGTTAGTTTGAGGTGATATCAGTTTAAAAGAAATACTACAACACAAGTAATTTTAAATAAGCAAAGGATCGCCATGTAGTTAATTTATACGTAAAGATCGAATACAAAAACGCCACCAGAACTCCAGTTATTAACTTGAATAGCGTAAATGTGGACATCTAATGGGATATTAGCGTTACGCTTAAAGCTTGCTTCTCCAGAATTTTTTTATGAACGTAGATACGTAATGATATTGGGGTTTAGTAGTTACAATGAATAATTTTAAGTAATGTTGCTTCTCTGAGTAGGACATCATCATATACATCCCCAATGTTGAAAAATCTTTTTCTAGGTAGCAGATCCATATCACAGTTACCTACTTCCATTGGAGCTGTTTCCAGAACGTCGTCGATGGCAAAGTTGAGGAGGAACGGTGAGTTTGGGTAATTCTGTCTAACCCCATTGCTTAAAAGGACAATAGAGAGAGGTGATCGTATGCCATTACTCTGCCTAAGGTGTTTGTGTGTATGGTTGCAGTATCGTTTGATATATTAAGCCCATATACTTTATTCTAGCTTCTGGCCAAGCCGATTCGCCAGTTCATTATGAGTCATGTTTTCACCTTGTCAATCATTCACTTATTAACTCTGACCATTTTTGTTGTGTATACCTTTCTTATCCTATTTACTACACGTCTGTCATTTAATCTTGTTTGACTATAAATATTGCTTAGCGCTTGATAAAAGTGAGCTGACTTACCAGACATCTCTGTGTCATTTTCATTTCGCTCGCTGATGTTTACTCATGTGCTTGTAACTTTCTGGTCTGTGTCATTTATCAATAGAACTGTAGCTGCCGCTTCTCTCTGACTTCTGATTTTATGCGCCGTTAAGATTGGTATTATAACGGTTATCAGGGTGAACGATTAACGAAGCACAGCACTACAGGGTCTTTACGATGTTAATATACATCTCAGAGACATTCTTCTTCAACAGACGATCCCAGAAAACAGACATGTCCAACTAATCGAAAAACAGCCTGCTCCTTCAGAATTTTGAATAATCCGCGAAGTATGGTGTAGCCAATAGTTAGGACTCAGTCGAAAGTAGACTTAATCACCGATATTTGTTATATAAATAACGTAGATAGGGACGACTATCGCCTCATCCCATGACGTTGTAACAAGCTAATTCCCAAACTTTAGTAAACAATTCAGTCGGTTCTTTAATCAAAAGTTTGTAACCATCCTGAAAATAGGTCAGGAGTTAGTCATCTGATTTGATGATTTGCGGTGATCCAGAGTTCCTTGTGGGCGTTTGCCTCGTTAGGTGGATCAGTCATTACCCGCCACGGAGGACAAAACAGTCTGATCGATGTTGCTGGGCTAGAAGACCAGTTGAACTGCCCTTCAAAAAACTCTGCCCAAGATGTCAGTAGAAGTTATAGAATGGAATACCACCAGCTTCACAAATTATTCCACTCACGCCAGACTTCTTGTTTTCGGTGACTCACATGACTTGAAAGGGCTTCCAGCAGCTACCAGATGCAGCTGCTACTTCCAGCTCGTTAGCAAACTCCAACCACTAGGCTTCTCCGTCCTTATGCAAGCCTTGTACAATTTCAGTACGTAACAATCTTCATCTATGGTCAAACTCGCAGTCATCCGGAGAAGACCGACATGATTTAACGAGTTGTGAGGTGCATGTAGAAACCCACTGCTTATAAGCGGGAGGTTTCGCGAAGCCGCAAGTGATTCTATTCGCTATTTTCGTGACGTCATGTAGTTGCAGTCAATGGTCATCAATACTTTTCGGTGAGCTGATAGCTAGTCTTGGAACTAACTAGGTTTGACATTTGATTGGAACGGAAGCTGTAGAAAATTGGTTTACATAAAACCGTTTAGGACATTGAATTTTTTGGCTGCGGAAACGTAAGATAAGATCAAGGCATGATCAGAGTCCAGATAAGTACTTGAAAAGAGCTCTAGACTTGTACACAACCATGGCAGCAGTAGGTGGACGTGATGTGGTCAATATAAGTCCAGGCATGGGTTGCAGAGAGGTCATAAGGGAGTATATAAGCGATGGCTATGTCGATGGTCGGTGCTGCCAAGAAACAGGTTATAGTCTGCACGAAGATGGTTGTTGTTATATGAACATTTCAAGGAGGAAAGCGAACTCTCGCGACCTTCGACTACACTAGGGAATTTAGAGATTGGAGAAAATAAGATGCCATCTATTTTAATGTGCAATGCAAATAATTTGGCTCTGTTCAACTTTAGTAGTAGGTTGCCGTTCATCTGAAACCTTTTAAAGAGACTATTATCTTAATTTGTATTGGTTCCTTTAATCTTTCCGTGGATGTCATCGACTGTGACTGACCAGTCACTTTTAGTATAGTTGACTTCTGTAGGGAATGTTAGATATCGCCACTAAGTCACAAGAAGTTAGATGGTGACCAGCAACGGGGCCAGAACCCGCGTTTAACCCTATTTGGGACTTGCCACCTGGAAGGATGTGAATCCGTATTGATGTGTACACTGTGACTCTCGAGCCTAGTGTCTTTCACTTCAAACCCCCAACGCGTTACTTACTTAGCTACTCAGTCCAGAAAGCCATTCATTTCTGTTACGAGTATGAGTTTCCATTTAATCCGTATCGATGTAATGAATCTTCCTGCTGATTTTATGGACTGCAGTTGATCAGTCTCTATTATCCTGTCTAAATAAATATCAACACTACACACTCTCCACAAGCTTAACTTTGGGAGCATGACTGAATAGCATTCTAGCTGCCTTACCTTTAAAGGCATTTATGAATGAAGTCATATTTGAATCATAGTGTGCTCGCTATAACCTCAGATCCTCTGGAACAAAGGAAACAGTTCGTGGAAATTACAAACGAATGAATATAGAGCGATACGACCCATCCACATTTACTATTAATTCAGGAACAATCGAAACACAAAAGCACAATTTTGCTTGTTCTTTTTAATATATACATGAATATAGGAGCGAAATGAATAAAATTCAGCGACCATATACCAGTCAACGTCAGTCAGCTACAACATAGGAGTAGGTACATATATGCATCGGTCCAAGTCCCTACACCTTATTAGTACAAAAAGATGAACATCAAATTCATAGTAGCTAACTCAATGGTAGTATTATATAAAAGATAGATTGTATATAATGATATAGTACAGGAAGAAAGATATGAAGCAATTTCAATCTCACAGTTTAAGGGAACACAAAGAGTGTATACACCTACACCATTGTGATCGATTCTCATCCATGTCACACAGAGTCTCCAACAATTGCCTACGATAGTCACCCGGACATCAAAAAAGTAGTTGGCATCTGCCAACATGGCTCAGATTAGAAGTTAGTGACTTTATAGACTGATACTACGTTTTGGTATTGCCATCCCTAACTTTTTTCCAACCATCCCCAACATCAGTCAGCATTGTGCGTCGTAGTAGTCGGTGTTCAGGCATACGTAATACGTGACCCAAACATCTCAGTCGGTGGAGATTTACAACCTCATCAGCTGATTTACCATCATTCTCTAATACCCTACGTATAATCCCACTATTATTTACCCAGTGATCCCAGTCGATGCAAGCAATATTTCTAAGACATCTGTGGTCAAATACTAGTAAAAACTTACGTGTATCCTCTAAGCTTAATGGCCACGTTTACTAGTCTTAAATTAAAAGAGAACGAAATGCTGCGCAGTACACCCGTCCTTTATTTTTGGAAAGAGCAGGAACAAAGATTTTAGTAGAATAGCATGAATTCATTTTATTTCGTTGTTTCTAGTAAGCTGCTTACAACTTGCGATATTTAAAATCATAATTACATAATGGGTTTAAATTACTTACATGAAAGCGTTTAGTTGGAAGTTATATTGAAGACACATTAGTATAGTATAGCAAGGGTGTAAACAAATTTAATAGACTGAATATTGTAAATATATACCTTATGTAAAAGAAAATTCTACAACATTGATTGTGACGACAGTTCAGACGGCCAGAAACAAATGATTACATAATGTGTAGAGCTCAGTTAATAAATTAAGATTACTAATCTGGAAGATAGTTGTAATAAAACTCAAGCGAGTTAAAAAGAAAAGGTTTAAGATGCAACGAAGGAACATTTGTCACAATGGCAAGGAAAGATTAATAACCTTTTGAACACATACGTCAGCTTTTTGACTCCTGATAGCAACGGCTACAGCAAACTTCAGAAGACTGGAGTTTGGCTGCTAACTAATCACTTTGAAAGATTGCAAGATATCGACCTGTTCTGTATCCAGATGTTTGGAAATAGCACTGTTTAGAATCTTTCTTTCTCTTATTCTGAGGTTTTTTAGAACAAGCTCGAAAGATGTCCTCCTTTCTGTTCGGCCAATGTAGCTGCTTTGGCAGATACACGTAAATACATAAATACAGTTGGTGGTAACATGAAAGGGGTGCTTGTCAACATTTGACTGAGTTATTGAATGTATTGATTTATACATAATTAATAGGTTGGCTGCCGGATAAGTTCTGGCTAGTACAGTGTACAGTTTCCTGCTGATTGTGTTGCGACATCATCACCTCTGAAGTTGACATTTATAGATATTGGTTTTTTTACTGACCGTCTTCCGTCTTGTTTTATTTAGTTTTTTTACATTTGTCAATACATTTCTGTGGGTAACAGTTGTCTCTTAGGCACTTTTCAACGTTAATCAATTCATTTTCTTGTTTGTCGGTGGTACATATCCTTTCGACCCTGTAAAATAGTGTTTTAACCAATGCCTTCTTGTAACTGATTAAACAAAAACTATTGGGGTTCAGGTAAAGACCATTCCATGTACTTTTTCGGTGGACCGAACGTTTAACTGTCCCATCTCCCCTAAGTTTTATGGCAGTATCAAAAAAGTGGAACATTTCACCCTGTCCGTGTTTCATAGTAAGTTGTATGTTAGGATGAGCATTATTGATAGACGGATATCTCGCCTTCGCCATAGGTGACGTAAGTTAGCAAAAGCCAAATGAGTTTTTACAATCCGTTCAGAGATTTCGTCAGACATCAACCCACTGAGGCTGATCAGACTTCCAAGAAACGTCAAGTTGTCGACAAGTTCGACTACTTCACTCCCTATCCTTAGTTTAGGTTTTGATGCAGGCCAGTCTTGAAGCAACAACTTGCATTTAGAGGTGGAGAAAAGCATCCTAAACATCCTAGCATTGTTGTTCAGTGCTACTAAAAGACTATGCAATTTATCGGCGTCCTCACCAAACAGGACTATGTCATCTGTGTATTTTAAGTTGATAAATGGACCTCCTGGAAGGAAATCAATTCTGAAAATCCAGTCGACGAGAACGTACTAGGTTGTAGACAATACTCTTTATTCCGTGAGAGTTACCAAAAGTAACTACTTATTCAAGCATAAATGGATTCGATTCTGTAAACTGTAAAGAGATCACGAAGGTGAATATACGAACTCAATCATGTCATACAGCAACACCAGACGAACTAATAAAATGGCAAAAATCAAATGTTTGTACTTAAAGTGTAGATAAGATAGAAAATAGAAACTTCAATACTTTCTACACAAAATAGCAACAAAAACATATACATAAAACATGGAATCATAAATGCACCATATTCCAATAAAATTTACTCTTTAAAAAGTTTACACAACATGGTAAATAAGGAAACAAACTTAATGCCAATTTGTATCGACCATACTATTGGGTGATAAAGACGGAGATATAGAAATAGTATTAGAGGTAGCAAAGAATGTCGATGCTAGTTCATTAGCAAGAGACATATGAATTTTTGTTAGTAATGAATGCATATCACTGTTTGTGGACATGTTATTAGGATTTAAATCCAAATCTGCTCTTAATTCAATTAAAGCAGTAATAAGTACTTCAACTTGATCTCGTCGTAGACAATTTCGACCCAATAAATGTCTTACTTCAGCAAGAAGTCTTATTTTAAGACGCGTTGGTATACGTAAACCAAAACCTGTAGTCGAAGAATTTGTACAATCTTGTCCAGCTGAATTGGTGGTAATAAGTGAATTGCCAGGACTAGTAACCAGTAGATCAATAATTCGGTCAACTGCACCTTCACAATCACCATCATTAAAACTTTGTTGAAGTTCAGCATAACGAATTAAAAAAGCTAATTCAGGTGATAATTGAAGATGATTAATTTCATTAACTTTGTTATTATTAGACGGTTCGTCATATGATGATCCTCGACAAAAGCCTAATATTATAGCAGCTAATTCTGCAACTTCCGTAGACGCATGTGAAATTGTTGTTTCATTCAAAGTGTCCTTACGCATAAACCCATTATCTCTAGCAAGAGAGAGTTCAGCTAATCGATTAATCATAGAATAATCACGTGCCATTAGAGCCCAACCTACAGAGATACAAATTGGAGAATAATTTGATGAATCAATTATAGAACCTCCTTGAGATTGCAATGATAAACATGCAAATCTACGACAATTTAACTTGGCTAGTTCTTCAGCAGTTGAATATAATCCTCTAACTTTGGCTTGACTAATAAACTAGTAAAATGAAATAAATAGAGATTATAAATAGTCATAATTAATTAATTAACCCATTTTAAATAAGTGAAAAAAACGAAATTATTTAAAACTGTATTCTTATGGAAAATTAATTATTGAGACTACTGGTTTGAAGTAAATATTACTCATATTCAGTAATCCAGGTAATATTCAATTAGTGAATAGAATATAATACTTAAGATAAATAATATGATATCACAATAGATTGTATTTAGATTTAAATGACAGACGAAAAATCAAAAATATATTGGTCAACTACATGGTTGACATTACTTTTGAAAAATTCAGGTTGCAACTGACTTTTAGTAAATGATTTTCAGCATCTCCTGAAATTTTAATTAGTTTAGCCTCTTAAAGAAAGGATTATACGCTTATTTATTAAGTGATTTATTAATTTTCTGAATAGAAATTAAACTACATGAGATACACGTTCTAGATTCGTGAGCACACAGGGACTCATTGTTATAACCTGTGAACGCCAATTGTTATATCTTGTGATACGCCAAATACAATACAGTGAATAATCGATAAGACTAATGACACACAAAACCCGTGCGAGCAGTCTAGAGTACTTGTCGGTCCTGCTTTCTGCCTAGCCCAGAGCACCAATAACAGCCTCTGCAATATGAATCATTTATTTCAAGCATACTGAGTTTATATACCAATCAAACAGACCACATCGTATCATAAATGAGAAAATAACATTCATACAAGATTTAGCCAAATGTGGCTGTGAATGTGGGGAACAGCAAATAGTAGACTGGGGATAATTCAGGAACGGTAAATCGTATAGTAATAGTTCATAGGTCGAAACAAAGCCTATAATAAGAGGGACGCGAATATGAATAGTTTAGTTATTTAGCAATTATACAATAAAAACATACGAGTAGTATTTGTCGCTAAACGGATCCCAAAGTTACCATTCACTATTCTAATCGGGACGTAACACTCATATATCACGTAATTTTCACAACCAATTTACATAGATTATATAGTATAGTTGTATTGGACGTGTAAGAAATGTCACTACAGTAATAAATTATTCATTTCTGATTATAGATAATAAAAAATGTTACTATAGTGGATTGGAATCGGAATATCCAAATTAAAATTCAGTGTTTTCATTACTAAGCCACAAAACCAGACTCAAACATATATTATTATGCAAAAATTTCATAAAATACATTGCACATGTTAGGATCAACGTATAAGCTGAGTTATTTGCTCAGCTTTTAATGTCATTTAATTTCGACATTTTAGTCTTGTGCATTGTTTACACATCAGACTATCATTCCTCCTGCTCTGAGACAACTGTTAAGCTCGCTTATTTTAGACGGGAAAATCGAAGGGGCTGTGTGATTCAGCTATTAAACAATGTGACTTTGTAGCTACTAATAAATAATGGCAGTGAGGATTCATAGGTAGAGATTATAGATATATATTATATTACCTAGTATTTCATACAGTAACCACTTCTCATAGAAACAACAAGCTAAGAAAATTCATTGACAAAGTCATCAAATTAAAGGTATCTAACCAACTTACCCAGTTTGTAGCTCTAGTTGAAACTGGAACAGCATGTCTCAATAATAAGGCAGATTGACGAGTACGCCCAGATTTACAATGATCCAAATATCCAAGTGCAATAGACAAAAGACTAGTTTCAGAAGCCAATGATTCGATATAACCAAGAAGAAAAAATTCAACTAATGAAGAGCTGTCTACAGGTTGATACAGCGATTCATTAACCTCAGCCTTAGATATATCTGCACATGTAGTAAATAAAAAGAACAAATATGTTCATACCATAATGTAAACGGTGATATGGATGTTTAAAGTTTCTGCAATGATAGGTAGGTTTGCGCATAGACTTCTACGAATGCTTGATTACATATTGGATAGGAAATCAAGGGAATATTTTGAGCCTAAATACTCCAAGTATATTATATATTTCAGATGAGAGTACGTAATTGATCCATGTAGTACGTTACTTAAACCATATTTGAGGATGCTTCAAAGTGCACTATATTCACAATAAACCTTTTTCTAAATCTTAAAATGCCATCGCGATTTTAAAAATTTGGTTCAACTAAACATCTACTGTTAGTTTCCATTCAAGAAATAAGAGAGAATGAGTTTATGTACACATGAATTATATTATCTGTCACCTAATTTCACAAGGATTATTAGTTATTGGGCTGAACATGAAGCACCATTTAACGTTTACATGACATTACTTATAAATACGATCAATATGTTGAGCAAACTGGGACCTTAGATATTAGCATCTGGCTACTAAAACTTTATAGCAAGTCATTATCAGAATAACTGATAAAAAACATTTAAAGATTTGTTTTATTTAGAAGTGATCTTAAGAAGACAATTTTTAAACCAATAACTTATGAAACAAAACTGATTAATTAATTAATTAAGAAAATATTACTTACAATTTACTGTTTTTGGACAAGATTCTAAAGACAACTCGTCTTGTTTATGTGTAAGCTGAAGGTCATTAAGTACACCAGGATATATGTGGTTTAAAAGATTTGTAAAATGTGCAATAAACCACCAATTACTTAATTTTTCACTTGCTATACGAACGAATGAGAATAGATCCACGTGAAAAATGCTTGTGATTAAAGCATCGACGGACTGAGGTAAAAAGTTAACAATAAAAATAATAATGACAGGGACAGAATTAAAAACTTCCAAAAAAACCCAAGTGACAGAAAATGCTTTTTTAAAGTAAATTCTTATGATAAGTATTACATTTTACGGGCTAAATGGTTTGATTATGAAACGTTCAATGACATTTTAAACACTAGTGAATACTTTGAGTTAATACTAACGATGACGTATAACATGATAATGAGATGTTAGCACTTAAATAGTTCATTTTAAAAGATGTAATACCACTAATAGTTAAGAAGTACAATTTTGAAATAGTTACGATACTTTGCAATGAATTGTTTTATGGCTGGTAATAAGTATGAGTTGCTACCAGTATTAGATGCGAAACAACGATCTTAGTTGTTTTATGTAAGTAGATTAAAGTTATTACAGCTCCATAATGAAGTTCAGGTTCGCGTTAATAGGCTTTGAGAGATAACACTACGTGGAGGGTAGCCTCACAAACGTAACTGAATAGCGAACTGTTCGCACCTACAAAGAAGCTGGTGAACACTTTTAATATAACGCATTTTTGTTATCTGTTTACATTATATGGTACTTAACAAATTGGATAGGGGAATATTATATACTTTGCCCCTAATTAACTTTCTGGGAATTCGCAAAAGAACATTAGACTTTGTCATATTCTGTTAAGTTATAAACAGAACCTAATGAAAACAAACAGATTTAAATTGTTTTTTGCTAGTTCCAATTTTCGCTGATTTTAAAAAGCAGAATGCTTGTAACTATAGATGATTATAATTAACGTGTAACGGTACTGGGATCGCGCTTTGATACTGTATTCATACGTTAAGAGGATTTTCTAGTCTTCCTACTAAGAAATAATGGTCCCCAAATGCTAACTTTTTGTATTTAGCCTGTAACTATAAATTGAGCATATTTCAGAAAATGGGTAGCAATGAAATCAAGCGAGCATTTTTCATCTTAATTTAAAACTTTTTAGTTGCATATACTTGCGTTCCAGTGTTGATTTTCTCAATGGGGACTAAAGATCGGAATGGAGAGATATTCAGCTAGCAAGCTCTGAATAAGATAAGACGGGCGTGTTGAATTTCACTGTAACCTAATGCCCATCTAAAACATAATACACAGCATATATTTTGACAGAATAGTATGTGACTAAGAGATGTCATACAATACGGAAATAAAAACAATATTATTAATAGAACAAAAGAGTGTACTAAAACTAAGAAAAGCAAATTATTGGTTAATGGAGGTAATTAAGCAACAATAGGCTATAAAATATAATAATTATAAGAAAATGTAGATTTTTCAAGCAATATTCGTTGGAAAGTAGAAGTGCGCTGTCGAAGATCTCAAATTACTTTGTACAAAATTATTTCACATCTATGTGCATTCCATTTTAACGTGTGCGATCAAAGAGTGTTATCTTTGAATTTCGTTTAAGAAAAGCACAGTATAAACTAGCATAGTATTAAACTAACTGGAAATATGGCTTAACAAAACAACAGATCGATAAACTTACCAGTAAGTAAAGTTATTGAAGCAAACAATAAAAAACGTTAATATTCATGCGAAGAATTAGAAACGTTATTTACCTGATCAAAGTTAGAGCCCGGTTCCATATTACCTTTCTTTGTTAAGGCAAGCCATCGGTCAAGATCACTGCTTAAACCATCAATATTTACCAACTGGTCAGTGTAGAAAACAAATGATACAAAACGAAAAAACCATCCACGTGAACCTCTGGTTACGTCCGAAATTCGCGGGTCGTCCCAAATAGACGTGCGCCCCGATAAGATATTTACAATTAATTTTATGTATTCAACTGATGTTGGATCCCCACCAACATGATCGAATTCTCCTGAAGACAGTCGATGTTCACACTCTGACTGCCAGTAATTCCACGCCTGCGAAAACTGAGCACCATACTCAGTCCACATACCTAACACCAATAAAAAGGACAAGCATTTCTAGTAAACACATATCTCGAAATTTTCACATCATAAACTAAGGATAGTGGATTTCAAGTAACTAATGAAAATAAAAAGTGAAAGTAGAAGACAAAACTTAAGTTCCTCACACCTATGTTCACGATAAAGACAAAGATTTCAAGCATTGAGTAAAACCTATCAAGTAGGTAAACACATTGATGGTTAAGATACAAGCACGAATTAACAACCAGTAAAAGCTCACCAAAATAATTAGTGTTATATATGGGTGTTATCAAAAATGAACAGTGAGTACGTGTTCCGCTAAAAAAACATTTCAAACAGTCCCGCCCTCGCCAAATATACGAAGAAATCATTCGAAAAATGGTTTACAAAAATTGAAGAGAAGTTTAGTGGGTTTATATCTATAAAAGGTGGAAATAAGAATACACATTTACATAGAGAACAGAGACTTCGTAAAAGTAACTTACTACTGAAGAGCGACAGATTTAGACCCACTCTATGTATTAATCACCAACAATTAGGAAGTTAGTCAAGAGAAACGAATCGGGGATACGTTTATCTAACCTCTGATATCGATAATGATTTGAGTGGAAATTACATGGGCATTTATAAAGATATCTGATGTGCTCATGTTGATCAGCCTCACTAAAGAAATAAATTTTGTGGAATAGAGTTTGAATTTCCGTGTTTGCCACAAACTCTTCAAAAAAGAGATGTAGAATATTCATTTTCGACAGATTAGAAGCAATTTTAGGAAATAAACCGACTGCAAGTAATTAATCATACGGGATTCTTACTAGAAGTGTGCAGTTTTAGGTGTCATTCAACCTATATATTTCATTTGAGCGATACATGATGCCTTTTATATCATTTTATTTAGTTTTATAAAATAAAATTATTCAGACCCAATGAGTATTGATTTGGATTATTACAATATTAATCAGTTATTACCAGGAACTAACGAGACAACTATAATGACGAACAATTCAGGATTTAAATGGTTTATTTGGAGATTAAAATTGTCATAGCTTTCAAGTAATAAAATAAATAAACCAAAGCATTTTAAATTATCGCTTATAGAGAATGTTGACTACTATGAAGAAACCATTGAAATTTTTTAAGGCAACTTGCACAAAAATGAGAATCCATCTCCATACACAGCTTCCCTAGACTTTTAATGAACCCATTTTTCTGGAATAACGATATCATTATTGCCTAAATAAAGCTCCAATAAAACAGTTGAATATTTTAAAGGCAAAAAACATATTTTAAGGAACGGTGACACTTGATGAAATATTTATCTTGTACATGCTTGGTCATCATTTGGGCTTTTCTGAAGCCAACATAAAATCTATGAACACCAACTTTTATGTTAGATCAACCTCTAGTTTGTAAAAACACAGGTGTGATGCAATTGTATGCAGGATGGACAGTTTGTAACAATTATTGAAACAGTGAATTTCAGCAGGAAATAGTGAGTATCTACTACGACAAAAGGAATGGCCATAGACTGAGATAAAGAACAAATATTTTATTGAGATCTACTTTAGGTACTGAGACCAACTACTGAATTTCCCAAAAATACACAAGTTAAAAATATGTCTTAGGCAAAATTACTTGCCTTCTTTTTCAGCATGAGAAGCGACTGGCATAGAAGCTAGAAGTTGACGTAAACTTCGGAGACCACGACCGTTAGAATTAGAATGCACGACAAGCAAACTTGCTGCTTCCTGACACCTAGCTTGTAAAACCAAGCTTAAAACTGTTGGCCAAAAGTCCTTGTTGGTTTCCCATGATTTAAGACTATTCAGTTTATCATGCAATAAAATATGACCGGATTGCTCTCTGCTTGCACTATCCAAAATCTCTCGAGCGCAATTAGCCGCTTCCTGAGACTGTACATAAAACCAACTACAGAGATTGAATGCTAAATATCCAGGTGGAGATACCTAAAATAATAGGAATAAAAGTAAGAAGTTTCCATCTTCCTAAGAATTGATTTGCATAACTGTAATACCAACAGCAGGTACTATGATATATCATACGAAATTTCTCATGGTATGACTGGCGTTTTAAGTCGCTTATGATTTATTCTTCCCAATATACAGAAGCTGCAGAGAGATGCATCTAGGTATGAGAGATAAGAATGTCTGGGCTGGGAACTTAATACTAGGATTTTTCGTATCAGGAAATTGGACTAGACACATGTACAATTATTGACAAATCCCACCGAAAGACTTACTGGTGTAACATTTTTAACTAATAGCTAGTATAAAATTGTACGAAATCTGCCATATAAGTGAATCTTTATGATTAAAAACAATACAGCAATAAAAATCAATAAGTACATCCATGAGGGTTAAAAACCGGGAAAAGGAGAAGAAACACTAAGATTATTGCCAAGTATGCGCTAAATTTTCAATACATACGCTTACTGATTAACAGTCAACTTTGAGTCTGTGATGGAACAGTAATAGATTACTTATAAATATTTAGGATTGCTTGACATACTATTTATTGAGTTTAGTTGGTGAATGGACATAAAACATGGTACTAAGTACCAAAGTTAGAATGTGCCACACAAAATATACAGATAACATTGTAAAGATAACCACATAGCAGTGTACAAATCGATGAGAGGTGAATTCAGTCAACCAATTCGTCTATTCCATAAATGACTTAAGTTAGAAAAAGTCATAATAACGTTATGCATTTGAATTGATTTCGAGAGGAATATTTCACACCTAAGTTAGAAATTCATCCCAAAAATCTATACGTTTGCTTCGTATTAAGAGAATCGAATTTTGTATACACGGTCGTGTGAGGCTTAGTTCCATTCTGAACATCGGGTTAGATGGCTGGTAAATCCATTAAAGACAGAGAAAGTGATACCTCCTGATGCTCATTTTTGAAAAAGTGGGACAAAACCACGTGTATTGTTCAATATAATTTCTTGTACAGCCACATGTTTGAGTAGGCATTAGCACCTACGGTCTGACTCTTGTATGAGTGAAACACTAATGATATAGACAAATAGATTCTAATTACAAAGTATATGCTCAATTGACACATCCCTTTAAGACGAGGATGTAAAAAGTCGAACACGAGTGTTTTGGACGCTTATATTTTATACATTCCTATAGGCAGAAAGACGAAACCATGAGAAACGAAGGAGACAGGTGTGTCTACTAAAAATACTACACATTAATTTAGCTCAAATACAGGCACTGAGTAAAATAATAGGGGTATAGACACACACAAGCACACATAAGGCGTATAAATGTAGAATTACAGGGACATGAACGTAAGAGGTACATATACCACAGGTCACGATTACCTATGAAAAGAATGAAGTTATTAGGAAGATAAAAATGACTGAATAGTCACATGCTACCTGAGTTGCCTAAGTCTATCCAGAAGCTGGGACCGATTACGTGGATGTGTAATGACAAAGAAAATGCTAAAAGTTTTATTAAAATTATGATACGTTTGGATGGAATCCCTTTTTAGGGGTGCCGCCACAAGAAATTACAAAAGACAGATCTAAATACTGATTAAAAGTCAAAAGACTGAGGATTGGTGGGGTCCCGGTGAATATGCAAATAAATGTATACAAGTTTTCATCGATGTCAGATCAAGCAGTATAAAGTTACTGGAAACTATCTAAATGCCTGTACGCTATGAAATAAACGACGGTTATTGGGTGAGAGCTGATGATACTAGCAGCATCCCTGAACGTCAATAAGTGAAGTGAGTACCGATTGGTAATTCAGTGAGTGAAGGCTACATTTAAGTAAGGTGATAATGTCACACTGATATGGAAGATTTATTTTAAAAACACAAAGAGTACTGTTAAATAGTTGTGCAATGATAAGGTGTGTAGATGGGTGGTGGCTGTTCATGACATTGTTTTATAAACTTAAGCTCCGAATGATGTAAAGCAAAAACAAAACCACTAACCAGAGAAGCTGGATAGCGAAGACAACAATGCTATCTAACTTAGATCGGATCGATCACCCACTCTGTTATATCTGAACAATCTTGGGTTCTGTACTAGGGGCTCATTTTACCGCTTGGGCTACCCAATGTGTATGAGAATTGGAGTTTTCGGACCTACGTAGTTCAAGTATATAGGTATATGCAAATGATACGCATGTGCTGTCGTACAAAGGAAACGCTGAGCTGCAAAACTGTCTGCCCTATGTCTAAAAAAATCAACAGCCTAATCTATCAAGTGGAAGACTTAAAAAATTGGTTGCATGTACTAAGGTAAGGCGACTAACAAGCTCCCCTGAGAGAATGCTTATGATTATGTGTGTGTCAGGAAATACTGGGGCGGTAGCCATGGTGTAAATAATATGCACATAGTGTGTAAGAGTCAGTCTAGTGTAGCGAATATGGTTTCTTTAGGAGCAGTGAACATGTGCATGCTATGGGATGCATGGGATAAAGCCTGTGCTACAGGTGAGCATATATATATATATATATATATATATATATATAGCATGATAAAATGTGAAAGTTTGGAGGGAAATAGCTGGTAAGCACCCACTCTTTATTCGAGTAAAACATGACTACTAAGTCAAATCTTAGGTCATTGCATCACATAGCTATCCTTCAGAGTTTAATTATGTGACGTCTGCACAAACCTTACCCATCAATATAAGACATTTTTACTTCGAGTGGAAAATATGGACGTCAGTGTTGCACTAACGTTTACTTTAACTTGTCACTCAGTTTTTATGCGATGGGCCTTTCGATAATGCATAGGTTTAGTCAAAGGCGATGAGTAAAGCAGATAGTGAGTAATATTAACCTAAATTAGTGAGACTACTTATGTATCTTGTGTTGTTTTATGTACTTTAGATAACACTTCAGCCATTTATCTAATAGAAATACCCATACGGAGTAAAACAGGTGAGTAAGAAACAATAACAACTACCGATCTACATGGTAGAAACGACTCTGTACGTTTTTGTTCACCGATCTAGTGAATTATCGCCTTGTTATCAGAAGTGCACTTAATACATTTCGTTTTTGATTAACAAACAGACAAACAGTTTCATCTAGGATACAAAAACGTAGTTTTAAGTTCCTGCTTTTGAAATCAACGAGAACATAGAATATATATAGTCATGGAAAAAGAATGGAGACCGGTAGGTGAAAGATATCAGATCATCTGCAACTATAAGTCAATAATCTACAACTACCAATATAGCTTAATAGAAAAGTCAAAAGTTCCATGAGCCAGTGGTGCGTTTAGGTTTGGTCAATCATCAGTTCTTCCAACTTACTCTTACGCCACCTAAAATTCCCTCATCATCTGATTTGATACTTTTGCCGAGTACCCTATGTTTAACAACACTATCCTCCAATTAGTCGTCTCACAATATATCTATGACTAAAAACCCACAGACTACATGTCTTTTATTTTATTAGTACATGTTTCACGGCCACATAATAATGTGCTGCAAACCAATTTACAGAATGCTCACCCTTTTTGGTCTCATATTTTGATGAGAAACCCACTCATTCACTTAGCTAAAGAGTTTAGGCATCATAGCTGATGTCAGTTCGTGATGAAAACCTCAAGTCTAATTCCTAACCTTGACCACAAACTGTTAATCATGATTCAAATTCCTCACACTGGTTTATGATCATAGTTTGGTTCTAGTTATTAGATGGACACTCTCAAGGCCAGTCTAGCGTCGCCCAAAGGTCGTCCATAAATTATGATCTAGCCGGTGTCGATTTATTCTAAAGTCAACAAGAGAGCGAAAATAAATAGGGGTGATGGCACATTAAATGGAGGCAAATCAGAGGACACGTTTTACGTATGAAGCGAACATACCTGTATAAAAATCAGTTCCGCAAGATGCCACAACAGCTCTAATGTCTGAATCAGATTACCTTGGGCAAGTAGATGAGCGGCCCTCGCCTCGTCTGAACCTGTTGCAAGTTCTGAAGGGAATTAGATTTGCTTAATTACTTAGAAATGTGAAGATTTCATTCGAACATACAGCTAATGCAGCTCTGTATTGAATGCTGTGGGTGATAAATCTAAAGGGGATTACTTCAACAACCAAACTTACGAGTTCTGTACTGAACATTTTTGAAGTGCCGAAAACACCTCTTTTTAAAATTAGGTTCAAGGTACTCTAAACCTACCGAAGGAACTTTTGACAAGGCGTTTCATAAACTCATCGTTGTATATTGACGTGCCCCATTTAACATTCTCAATGAGTATTTCATTGCAAGTGGATTTATTTGAAGGAGTTGACCTCCTAAAAATTCCCAGTTCGTTTTCTGATAACCAAACATGATTTAAGGGGCCAGGGACTCCTACAACTAAGGGACTTTCCATCCGGAAAGTAGCCCAAACGTTCAAAATCTGTGGCCTTCAGACTTGGACAGGTGTCTGGGTCATTGGAGATGGGTTTCAGTTATAGTAAAATATAACGCAGTCTTAGTTTCAGTTTTAGTTTGGAAAGAAGAGAAGGCTTGGTGGTCTGTGTAAGTTCTGGCTGTTATGGTTTCTGGTGATCCAACTTTCTTTTGAAGCCTCAAAGACGTGTTCAGGTTGTAGGGTCACTGAATATCGAACAGATCACTGATCCCTGTCAAGGTCGTGGATAGTCAACGCGCACAAACCAATCGTACGCCATGGACTGGCCCACGCGGCAGTGGTTATTCTTTCACTTCTGTACTTCCGTAGTTGTACCTTAACTAATATATTCTTGTCATAACGTCCTTTGTGTTGTACAGTCTCCATAGCATCTATTATCCTTTGATGCGTCGATGGTTCAATCCACGTAAGGGCTGGTCGCGAGGTGTGACTTCAGCGTTAATTGGTTCGTCCCCATTCTCGTCTAACTATAGTAGGCCCCCGATCATTTTGACATAGATCATCAACGTAGATGGTCTTACACTGGTGAGCAAGACTTCGAATAACGCAACCTATCATTATGTTCTTTTTTTTACATTTTGTACTTATTATTTTCCATTTTTAACTTCGGCTATCTTTATCAGTTTCTGTGAACATTCGTTGCTTCATATCAATGTTGATTAGTATTTCAACTGAAATAATTAGTTCAATCGATAGAACTAACCAATCAACTACGACTGTAATCGACTATCGTGGTTCTTTAACAAGCATTAGCAGCATGTAAATGCTCCTGTGTAATGTGTCTGTTAAAATATCAACCACTCGTAAGTATGGCCTCAAGGCAACACGTACGCATATCTGTTTGCAACTTATCCACTTGTATAACCAATACAGGATAAACTGCCGATTATTAAATTCATCTTTCTGCTTATTCACTGTCAACTAACTACTATCAAAAACTATCTACTAGAATATTTTACTTTCTTGACCACTGCCTGCCTAATTTCCAATTGCTGAGTTCCATGGCGAATCAGAGGATACAAATGCTAGAAATTTACGGTGAGTTTGAACTATAAATTTCCTGCAATGTTAGATCTTGTTTAAACTTCGTCAGGCAATTCTACGTGTTCAACCTAAATTAGACTTATTCCAATTCAGTCTACAACGTTTCCTTAATCTACGAAGTTAATCCACAAATTTCAATTACTTTGGAGCAAGAGTAATCCAGGCGAGTTTCATAATTGAGTTAGTTAATTTCGTATAATGTTTATAATGTCTAACATTTTGCGGCTACTTTCACTTAGAGTAGTCATACATTCTGTCACTGCCGTCAAATGTTAGTCGAAACTACTTACATTTATGACTTGTAAGTCAACATACTCCAAAAAAACGTATTTCATGTACACGAGCAATCTTAGTCCATGTCTTAATGAGACACTTCGTCGTACTTGATGTCACTTAGAGCTAGATAATATGCTTTTTTACGAAACGATCACGTTATCTAAACCTAAACTTTAGTTACATTGGTGGTTACCATTTAAATTAATGTTTACTATGCGCTTTTTTTGTTTGCTGTTATCTCATACAGTAAATCATGACTCGATTTCCTTATTGCACGAAAGTCACTTTAATTCCGTCTTCGGCTTATTCACATGCAATACGGGTTTGGAAAATATCTAAACGTCTTCTGAAATTCTCCACAAACCCCACGATAGTCTTCGTACATGTTTGATACTGCACATCCAATTGCTACATAAACAATGCCCAAACGAACGTTCAGTACAATTGTCAGTATACGAAATAATGTTACTTCGATGTGACATTACAACACCTCCGAACTATTGTAGTTATTCAACTTCGACGTCGTATTTTTTCATATTATGAAGTATTGTTTCCGCATGGCTGTTATCTAACAGATGATTTCGGTACATCAATCGGCTGTTCAACTACTCGACGGTCTAAAGCCTGTCCAGTTCAATTGGTGGTTTGACGACACTCATTCACGCGAATCATCGGTTTACGCAGTCGAGCGCATCTCCTGCAAACTGACAACGATATTGTCGTCTCGACCCCAACACTGACAGCATTTTTCACCGATATCACTGACATGAGTCCAGAGTGACACTCTTGGTTTCTTATGTTTTTTTCGACATTTTTCGGTTCACTCATCAAACACGTGTGCAGCACTCACCAATTATCATCTTTTAGAGATTTCATCGTGCCACCTTTCGCTCTCACTCTCTATTCTTCGACCCACATTGATTTTCACAGCAGTTATCAGTTTTTCCAAACTGACTGCAAGTTGATCAGAAGCTTCGCACAAGGAAACCACGACTTATCTTCACGGTTATAATTCTGTACTTACAGTTAGTCTGTTGAATATATATATAACTAGAAATCGACGCTCACGAACGGTTGTCAGCGACACTTACTGACTTTCTACTTTGTACCAAGGGCAGTACAAACATCGGCACCGATTGATAATACACTTATCGTACTATCACTGTGACATCACTACTCTTGCGACAAACTTACTTTTTCTCACCTGAGGAACTCAACCACTTGTCAGAGCTATATTTTTTAACGCGACTTGATAAAACTCCAAAATGTTTCTTTTTCTATTATTTCTATGGTTGATCGCTTAACATTCAACCAACGTCCTTGTTACGTGTTATTACTCGTTGTTTCCCGATCAGTTTCTGCAGCCTCCTTTCCATTTCTTTTGCAGCTCGGCAATACCCGGAGGATTCATATTAATCGTCTGGCAACCTCCGGCGCGCGACTACTCCCAACATGTTTGGTATCGACTCAAACGGCCGTTGAATCTGGTGGGGGAGTATTGTAGGGTCACTGAATATCGAACAGATCACTGATCCCTGTCAAGGTCGTGGATAGTCGACGCGCACAAACCAATCGTACGCCATGGACTGGCCCACGCGGCAGTGGTTATTCTTTCACTTCTGTACTTCCGTAGTTGTACCTTAACTAATATATTCTTGTCATAACGTCCTTTGTGTTGTACAGTCTCCATAGCATCTATTATCCTTTGATGCGTCGATGGTTCAATCCACGTAAGGGCTGGTCGCGAGGTGTGACTTCAGCGTTAATTGGTTCGTCCCCATTCTCGTCTAACTATAGTAGGCCCCCGATCATTTTGACATAGATCATCAACGTAGATGGTCTTACAAGGTAATGAATTCAACTCGTTGATTATTCGATGGGAAAGTATATAGTCAGCTGACAAGTAATTCGTTCTGAGTTTATGAACGTTTTTCGAGTGTTTTCGTAAATTTTCTGTTTTGGAAGACTAGAAAACTGAAAGCATTTTGTTTGTTTCATTTACTAAACGTAGAAAACAATGGCTAATGGAGTATTCTGGAAAGCAATCTTAGATTTCATCATTCTCTTTTTTGTAAATGATGGTCTTGGCTGGAGTTCCATTACACTCACAAAGAGAATTGTTTTGTAAACGTAGTGGTTGGATATGCATGATCTCCGGTGTCTATGAGGCTGAAGTGAATGCTTTTTGATATGGGTTCTGTTTCAGTCATTTTATTGTCTCCTTACAACTTTTAAAGTTCCAGTAGGGAATATGTATACCACGTACGTAAAGGGTAGGATGTTGGTACATGATTTTTATCAGTTGAGGACTTTTTGATGATTTTGATGTCTGAGTTGATATCTAACTTTTTCAAAATGAAATTTACACTATTATCATCGACTACTTTTCAGACTGGTGTAAAATATTTTTTGAGTTAATCGTTGTTTGTATCCTGGATTCTTACCATGACTACTTACGTTTATTCTAAAAACCGGCCTCAGCCTCCCTCTCGGACTGATGTGCGTTAATCTTAAAAGTGCCACCTTTCCTATTCAAGTTTTTCTTATTTTGTGGCAAACAGAGCGATTTATAATCGGTTGAATATCTCTGCTTTACAAATTGATCTACAGCAGGTGGACTGTGAAACCCATCCTTAACCTGATGTGGACGCTCATCAGGGTTTCTTACTGTGTGTGCTAATGGTCCCCAAAAATTACAAGCAACGCACAGCCATAAATAATCACACTCTTCTTATGCCAAGACACAAAAGTCACTGCTTGGTGGAATGCGAACGAGTTCAAACGAGCAAGCAACCAATTCATAGAGACAATAAGAGAATAAAGGCTTCAATATCAGATTAAGCTAACATACAACTTTGTTTTCAGTCCGAAGAGCTTATTCCCCTGAATAGCCCTTCAACGACAGGCCGAAACCGGGGTTTCTAAGTTATCCGGTCCTGATTGCTCTGCCAACAACGAAAGTCATTCCTCTAAACTTCTGGGAGACAGCATCTCCAAACATTTCGATCGTCCTATACACACTACATTGACGAGCGCCCTACGTGCAACTCAACAAAATTTTCAGAAATGAACTGGAGTGCTGAATTAGTGCATCAGAAACTGTAGCAGTTAAACGAGGATATTTCTCCTGGGCGGAACATGGTTCATTCTGCTATATTGAGAGGGGCGATTTCAATTTCAACAAAACCTTTTGGTGTTTTGTTTTCATATTCGCTAAGCCGAAGCATGGCATCAGAAAATCGAGAGCTGGATCGCATTACACCAATTTTCAAAGGAGGCTGACGCAGCTGAACTTCATACTATCGGCAGCACTTCGCTCAATATACTCAAAAATTTTGAAGTTCCTGATAAACAGTGGTCTACGTGACTGCTTCTTATCGATAAACTTTTATCACCTCAGCAGTACGATTAAGGTTAATTCTTCAGGTATTTTTTATAGATCTTGTTCAAATTCAACTCATCTGTAGACGCTAGTGAGTTTTTAAATTCCTCCAACTCATTGAAACAGAAACAGATTTTCAAAGATATTAAGATTCTACCAGATAGAACACCATGCCAAATGCTATATCCAATAACAATGAGAAGACTTTTTTGTACTTCCGCCGGCTTTTCTGCCGGTAACAGTAAATGTACTTCAAATGATGACAAAATTGTTGAATCTATTTCCGATCTCAACACAACTCTCACCTTAGCCAATCCTACGAGTATTCATGAAAATACCAATTGTGGTTTATACTCTAACCTGCTTCACCATGGTAATTCTCAATTTCTTATTCTTTCGTTCAATTCCCGCTCTCTGCCCAATAAAATTACTCACCTCAAAACCCTTTTATTCATTGTAAATCCAACTATTGTACTTATTACGGAAACGTGGTGCAATTCATCTGTATCCGATCACTCCCTGCATA